CGCAGGAGACAAGCGACGGGCGCGAGTCGCGCGGGGCAAGCGCGAGAGACCTAGTCCGAACGGGACTAGGCGAAGCCGAGGCGGTGGACGCGCACGCGCGAGAGGAGGGCAGCGCGGACGGGGCACGCACGAAGGCGCACGCGTGCAGCACGGACGAGGCGCGCGATGCCTCGCGCGCCAAGGAGTAGAAAAGCCCGAAGGGCGGCGCGCGCGACAAGGGCGGTTGGGCTTAGGGTCGGCCGAACTTGGAGTGCAAGAAAAGAAACTTGGAGATCAAGTCAATTAGCTTAATTAGGACTTTAGTATATTTAGTTTCTTTATTACATTAGAAGATGTTAGGAGATATTTTATTGCTTTTAATTATTGATTTAGGAGATCTAGTTTAATTATGCTTCGATTTATTTTATGCATCCATAAATACCCATGTACCTCTTCATTATTGAACATGTTAAGTCTTGGAATGAAGTATTGAATTGATGAGTCAATTTAGAGAGAGGAACTTTATGTTCTAACGTGTGTTAAGCAAGGCCATAGAGCGTGTTTACATGCAGTGTCGGAGAGAAGGCCATTAGAGCGTCTTGAAGTCACAGTGTCTAGGAGAAGGCCGATAGTGCGTCTGTTAGATACACCTATCGTGAGTAAACGAAGGCCCTGAGTGCGCGTTTATTCACAACCGGAAATAGACAAAAATCCGATCTGTCATCACGCGCGTGCACCAGCAGCCCGACAGCGTGCAGCCCTCGGCCAGAGTGCGCAAGCCATGCCCTGCGAGCCCAGTTTGGCTCAGACCAGACCAGACCCAGCCCGACCCGACATGACACAGTCTAGTCCAGCCTGGCCCGAACCAGTCCAGCTTGGTTCAGAAGCCCCGGTTTGACCCGACGGTAAGTTCCGAGCAGTCCGATTCACTTATTGAAGGTCCGAGACGATCCGATGAGCTTGATGAGCGATTGGAGCACCATGATGACTCGATTAGAATCGAGAAAGGCCAAGTCTAGCTGCCCATTGGACTTTGGTGTTTAGACGATCTCCATCAACGGAAATCAAAAACGTCTCAGAGTCGGCAAAAATTTTAAACCGTAAGTCCTAATCCTAACTATAGATTCTGCTGCGTTAGGATTTATTATTCAATAGATTTGAATGTGCATATTGCCAACGTTCCTAATAGAACCCAACACAAACTCCCTCTCAACCTTTCTTCTACCCCAACTTTTCTCACTATGATTACAAATTTCATTCCAGTCCCCCCCCCCCTCCCAATACAATTACTGCCCCACTACTAGCATTTTCAAGAAATTGCCATTGCAACCCTCTCTTCCACTTACAAGTGCTGGCATACATGAAAACAACCCACACATCCCCATTACCCCCTGAATCACGTATTTGCAACTGAATACAAAAAGAGTTGCTCAAAATTTGTTTAATAACTACATCCCTCCTCCACAAAACAATTAGTCCCCCACTGAGACCTTGAGGTTCTACTGCAAACCATCTCTCCCTAAATCCTACTTTAGTACAAACCAATTTAGTAAAATTATTTGGTTTTTTGGTTTCTGAAAGGAACACAAAATCTGGGTGGTGGACCCTTGAGGCCTCCTTTAGCTGTGAAATTGTAGAGGGTCCACCCAACGCTCTACAATTCCATATGATAAGCTTCATTGGTCAAGTGGGGGCCACTCAAGGCTGGCCACCCCCACCTCCAAAGAATTATTTTTAAGCTTCTTGTTACCTCTCATATCAGCTTCTGTACCTTGATCTCTAGCTTCTTCAATCACAAGGCCTCTCTTCCTTCTTTTTGGTTGGATTTCCTTTTTCTCATGATGCTACTTAAGATCTTGCCACTTTGATTTCCAGTAGCAGCTGGTTTCCTGGTCCATCCCCTTCTTCTATGGACAGTGCGTAGCTCTTGCTCACCCTGGCCAGACTTGCTAGTGTTATTCTGCTCAGGGATGGTATGCATCATTTCTGCTTCTTTAGCTAGCACTAGGCTGAAATTAGTGCCTTGGAAAAGGTTTGTTCCATCATCTGGCACTGCATTCTCAGCAACAATGATTTCCCTCCCTGTTCCTGTTTTCACTCCACTGTCTGCTGATTTGAATCCTGTGTCGCCCTCTTGGGGATTAAGTTTGTTCCTTGGTTTGTTGTGTGATGATCATCTGAGTGACTCCCTGGAGTGGTAGCTGAATTTGACTTATAGCCATAATGACCATCAGTTGCTCTTAGCCAATCACCATATTGTCCCTCCTTTAGACACCCTTTAGCTATATCATCATCATCCTTCTTATTGCAGGCTCGTTCCAAATGGCCAATAAGGCCACAGTAAAAACAAGCATTAACTAGCTTCTCATACTGAAATATAGCTCTGATCACAGTGTCATGGAGCTGAAGGCAAGCGACACGAGGCAGAGGTTTGGTAACATCCACTACAGCAAGCAATCGTAAGAAACTCCCCTTCTGCCCCCCTGGTTTGACCATAGAAGTCGTTTTGACTTGCAAGAACACTTTCCCAGCTTTAAGTCCAACTTCAGTGCATAACCAGTTGATAGGAATGTTACTCACCTGGATCCACATTTGCAGTTCTAAGAATCTTTGATGATTCTTAGTCATCCCTTCCTCCCATTCACCTAAGATTAGATATTGGTTCTCAAAAATCCAGTTTGTCCCTTTCATCACTTTGGCTTTGTCTTGAATACTTCCAAATAGAAACTGAAAGAAATTTGTTCTCAGCTCACGTACCTCCATTTGATTTTGACGTTGTCCGCTTGTTAATCTCAAGGTTTCTCAACGATTACGGGGGCTATCTAGTCCACGGCTACAGATTGTGCCAAGAACGGCACTCGAGGGCCATATTGATCCCACAGTCCTCCTTATACCAATAAGACTTGCCCTGCGGTCACCTATGATTTTCCCAAACAGGCTCCGCTTGCATTCTGATGCACTAATCTTAATATCATCATCCTTGAGAGCAATGATCTTGTTTTCTGATTCAGACAACTCTGTATTTTGTAATCGACACCCCAAATCAACGGTGTCATGAAATGAACTTGATTCTCCAGAAACATCAAATTCCATATTTTGTTCCCAACCCTAATCTGCGCAGGCGAGAAAGAAATTGTAGGAGCACCTTCACCAACCCTCGATGAAATTAATCTCTTCCCCAAGAGAATCGAAAGCCTCCCCTCAAAGAGAATTTCAACTCCCCTAAGAGAGAATTTTTAGTTGTCCCCTTTTAGTTACTTTAAGTTTAACAAATTATTTAACCACATAGTGCATGAGCAGAACATTTAGTGTGGAAACTGGAGTAAAAAAAAAAACCAAGAGGCTTGAGATAAATCCATCTTTTTTTCTAGATTTAGTTCTCTACAAGCTTCCACAATTTTTTTTCTTTTTTCTTAGTTGCAAGACGAATAAAAAAAACAAAATCTTGTGAATAGTGATTTTGTGAATTGAACAATGATAAAAATAATTTAAATTTTGAAGTGAAATGCATGTATTTATTCATGTTGTTATATACACTCATATATATTCTCTTTGGCATATATATAATTTCTTTTATATAAAGCGAGTGCTGTGTTAGTATTTTATTATGTAATCCTAACCTCATATGAATATGAATATCCAAGAAAAAAGATGTGCAAGTATTCACCAGCATTTGAAAGGTAGAATTAGTCATAGAACTGATTCTAAACATAGGCCAATGGCTGGAAAATAATATAAGCGTGTACATCTTTCAGAATTTAACCCTAACCCTTCTGCATAAATACATAGCGCGAGCACAGCACCATTTATACGTTCATACAATCTCCTAAACTATACACATCAATTAAAATACACTGCCTTATCATATTGCATATAAGAGTTCTTTCGAACAATTCGCTGCATGGTCTTCGCGACCAACAATAGCACGTTTATGAGACGTAACCTTGCTCACAAGCCTGGAATTTCATAACAGAGTTACTTACAAAGGATACCCTGGAAGTTTAGTCTAATTACTAAAGAAAATAACAAGAAAAAAAAAATTTAAAAACAAAACTATAATTTACATTTATCCTCTCATATTTTAAGACTAAAATGTAAAGTCACAGAAAAATGACTGACCTGTTAGCAAAATGAGAAACTAACGATCTCCATAAGCATATAGTTTTTCAAATCGGGAAACAATGTGTTTTCCGTACGTGTATTTCTTTAAAACGGTTAGATGATTTTTGATCTGGCCGAGTAGTACTTCCCGATGATCACTCGAGCACTTTTCAAGTATCCTCTGGATGACATAATTTGCATACTGGTCTTTCATCATAACCTTCGAGGATAAATCAGAACAGAAAACACATTGACAAGTTAAATATAGCTTAGGTTGACTTTGAAGACATATCATGCTAAACAAGGGGTGCGCATGAAAATAAGCAATGGAAGATACAAGTACGGAACACAAATTTTTTTAATTAACTCAACAGCTGGCCTTTGAATATGTTGTCAAGTGCACATTTGCGCCTTCATACCTATGCAATCTAAGTCGAATATAATTGTATTTTTAAAATCTCCAAGGTGTCGTATGAATAAGAAAAATCCTTCAGACACATCTAGAATACTCCTACTGAGTAAGTTTATTGTCAAAACATACAAATTCATTAACATACTAGGCGATCGATCATATTGCTTGGCATATGATCATTGACCAAGATTCATTAAATTCTTTTTTGTGGTACTGAACACTATGATTGCCAAGTCCAATATTAAATTTACATGCAGTTACGTAAAAATGGAGAGAATTATAAAGATAAATTAGTAGTTGTACTATGTTGTATGATTTGTTTTTCGCTCAAATATGACACGAGTGATTGGGTACTGATAAAAACATGTAACCATGAAATAAGCAGAGACAATGTGGCTATCATGTGATTAAAAAAAAAAAAGAAATTGAGTTATCCCCTGCTTGCTTAGGTTTAGAAGAACTCACAACAGCTGTTATGAATTAGTTTTAAGCTTTCAAACCAACTCACCAATAAATTATCATTCTTGTTGCCATCCCCTATAATTTCCTTTATCAGCATTTCTCTTGCATCAGAATCACTATACTCCACACATTTTTCGACAACATTTGATGAGAATTTGTGTTGGCTCAGTTGCACAATAGATCCAACTAATTTCTCAATGATTCGACTCCTTTCATGAGGCTTTCCCCTTTCCAAAGCATGCTGTCATTTATATATAATCAAAGTCAAATAAATATATAAATAATAAAAAGAAAATGAAAAAAGAAATGTAAGAATTAAAAAGTTTCAAATAATATTTAGTTGAAGTTACACCAAACAACCATAATTTAGATAGTTACTCATTCCCATTTTGGGCATGCTTGTTTACAAATTATTTCACGCTCATTCAATTCATACTTTAAATCTAACTCAACTTTAACTCAACTCCACTATCTTTAATATTATTCATATAATTAAATAATACAAAACAATCGTTCTTACACATCACATCACATCACATCACATCAACTTTAGTTCACTATTCATCCACTCACATAATTGTAATTACCTATCATTTTCAATCATTTATCTTCTATTTTTACATTAAATCAATTTTAATCATTTTATTTTTAAATATTATTTTAATACATTTTTAAAACTCACTAACAAAAAACCATACGACATTTTTCAAAATTAACCCTAGTTAACCAAAATAACTCATTTTAGACAAATTATTTAGTAAACAAGCGACCCCTATTGTTTATTTGATACTCAAAATTTGTCGACCAGAACTAAGCCCACTAAGATAACCATGATGCAGTCACCACAGATAAAATCGCATAGCCGCGATATCAAGCACTATGATAAGACGAAAGACGTCGACCTCGAGACTTCTCCTATATGCCAACCTCGTTCCAAGCTAACATTTGCCATAAACAAGGCCTACCCCTTTTGTCGATCTCAGCCCTACCGATCTCGACCCTATTATAATGTGAAGGGGGTTGCTGCCCAAAACAAGTCCCCACCGCCAGAAAAGGATAAGTCACTTGCCCAACAAGGGCAAGTTGCCCTCAAGTTAGCGGTTCACGCGTCGCATGCATGTCGCTAGCCTCTCCGAAGATGCCATGCGTCCTAGATATATTGTATTTTAAATGTCTCTCGTCTTATAAATAGAAATAGAAGGGTTTAGAGGTTCCAAAGATTATCAACTTCTACATCAAATAATTCTCACTACAATATCATATACTACACTAAAATGTTGGAGAATGTTTGTATACAAAAAATCTCAAAAAAATTTCAACATTTTAACTCAACTATTTTTTTTTAACTCAACTATTTTTTTAACTCAACTTTAATTCAACACCACTATCATTATATTATCAATATAATTAAATAATATCAATCAATCATCCATACACACTACATCAACCTTAATTCACTATTAATGCAATCATATTATTTTAACTAACCATCACATCAAATTTTTATTATTTTATTGTAATATTATTTTAATATACTCACTAGCAATTAACCATACTACCTTTTTAAAAATTAACCAAACCAAACAACAAAGGTCCAACCAAACCAAAAAATTTCATATCCAAACATGCTCTTGTTCTCTCCATCATTACATTTCCCTGTTCTCCAAGTACCTCTCCCTTATTTCCGATGTCCACCTGCATTCGAAAGGCTCATGTACAAAAAGAGTCCCCGGAGCAACCCATCCTATGAATAAAATCATCGGTGCAGCCACCTATTTTCATAGTTAATATAAACTAAATTTCTTTTGTTGTTTTCATTATTTTCACACTAAAATTCATCATAAAACCGATCTAATTAACACACCATCGCTTCGGTGGTCCCTTCGGCGAATGTGAATAAAATGGCACTAGAGTCGTGCATCTGAATCCATTATAATTCACGTTGCCATTGGGACTCTCATGCAACTCTTTTCATCTCGTTACTTTGTCCATATGGAAGGTCGGCTTTGTCGGTTCTAGAGCAAGGCCCATCATGCATCTTATTCCAAAAGTAAGTAACAGTGTCGTTCAAGAAACCCCTCATACAGCTCTTTTCAGTTACTCTGCTCGTATAGAAGGGCAGCAAAAGTCGACCCTCCATATCACCCCCATCCTCTCTTCATCCTCTAGGATCGATTCAGTCGATCCTCCATATCATTTCCCTTTCTCCCGTTACTCCGTCCAAACAAACACTCACATACACACTTCCTACAAAAAACCCTACTTTTTACCCCGTTATAATGCTCGATATACAACTCAAAACCCTTTTTTAACCCTCTATTAGTTCGTCTTTGGTAAGAGTATAGATCTATTAGTTCATCGTCGACAAAGACGTTTTCGGGAAGGATAGATCTATTAGCTACTTTGTAGTCGAGCATCCCACCCCCTTCATACAAAGCTCTAACTCCTCCACGCATTGTTACGTCGTAGGGTAGGACTTGTCCGAAGTCTTGGACTACCATATGGTTGTGAATGTTTAATCGCCCAAATTAAAAATTTTAGAAAGCACGACATGTTGCCTAATCTGCATAAAACCTTTAGAATTAGGAAAAGGCAATAGCCCAATCACCTTAAAATCCTCAACTTGGCTGCAAAAATGGCTCGAAATTAAACCCTTTCGAGAGCTCAGACTTCGAAGGGAATAGGGAATGGCCTGACACCAATCCACACTCCTGAGACAAGCGGTGTCACGCATCCTTCGTACAAAGCTCACGTATTGTTACGGCGTACAGTGGAACCCTTTGTCTTACAAACATACGACAGTAAGGCTAATTTGCCCACCCAAATTAAAAGTTCTCAAAAACAAGGCATCTCGCCTAATATGCCCAAAGCTCCTAAACTCACCCTAAGAATTCAAAAAAGGCAATTGCCCGATCTCTTTAAAATCCTCGAACTTGAGGGCAAAAATGGCTCGAACCTTAAATCCTTTCGAAAGTTTTGACTTCGCCTGGGAACAGCCTGACCCCGGGACAGACGGCGTCATGCACTCTACGTACAAAGCTTTAACATTTTGTTACAATGTGTACTGGGACCTGTCCAGAGATAGACAAGTCCAGGGCCCTCCCTCTCCCTCCTGAGTGGCATCACGCATCCCCACTCACGCATCCTCTGTACATAGCTCACGCATTGATATGGCGTATAGCGGGCCCTTGTTGAAGTCTCGATAGTCATACGAGAATACAACAGTAACGCTAATTTGTTCGCCCAAACTAAAGATCGCGAAAATACAACAATTCGCCTGATCCGCCTAATACTTAAACAGCACGCACCCAAACTAACCTGATATCTGCAGGTATAACAATTGTTATATGTTCATTGCATATGGAGCTGGAAGAGTCATTGTTGACATTTCTCCTGGCATAGTGCTAATAATGGACTAGATCAAAATGACTCAATTAAATTCTAGTGCTTCTTCTCTTAGTGAAGTTTCTAGAAAAAATATATATCAAACGACGCAACGCACCTTGGGTCGCTATGGAAACAACCTCCTTGTATAATTACAAGGGTAAGGTCTGCGTACAACTGACCCCCCAGACCCTAACCTGTTGGGAATATACTATACTGGTATGTTGATGTTGATGATAACAATTGTTATCCTAAATATTGTATAGATCATCAACAATTGTTATCCTAAATATTGTATAGATTAGATTGTATCAATTAGGTAATATGGTAAATCCAATAAATTAGGTGCTTTAATTTCTTTCTTTGCTTGCATTCCTTTCGACTTGTATATATATCTTATAATCCTCATTGAGTCATATATCAAACATCAACCAACCATGGTATTAGAGCCCAAATAAAGTTAGAATTTTTTTTTTAATTTTTTGGTCAAATTCTTTTGTGTAGAGTAGACACTTAGACACTTCAGGTGAGTTTCGGGTCTCACCTCATGTACCGTCGGACTAGTCAACTGCCAGCCCGGTGAAATATCGTCGCCAGCTTCCGCGCGTGTAACATGCGCCTCAACACACCTGCAGTATGTCTCACGAGCCAACGAGTGAGGGCGCTAGAAAATTTTCTGGCGAACGTTCGTTTGCTATGAATTTCTCAGGCTTCCTATTAGTGTTCTCAGTTTCGGGTTTGATTGACTCCTTGGTGTGCAGATTGAATTTTTTAATCTCAACCCTTTAAAATTGGTTCATTTGCTCGAGCACAATGTTCTTATGGCTGCGAATAAAATTGTGACTCAAATCGTCCCTATTATGAATAAAATCACCGATGTTAAATTGAATTGTTCTAATTTCCTTGGTTGGAGTAAAACTATTATCGTCCACCTCCGTAGTATTGAGAAGGACAATCACTTGGATTCGGATCCTCCCACACATGATGTCAAAGCTGATACTCGCCAGGCAGTGTACGTGATGATGCAAAGTTGCTCGTTCGAATTCGAAACTCCATAGAGCCTGATAAACTCTCTTTGATGAATCATGGTGAATTTGTCAAAAAAATTAATTGATTATCTAGCGTTGAGCATACCAATCTCTCGTATTTATTCAGTTTGCAAATCGTTTCATAGAGGATAATAGGATAAAAATGCCACGCCACATGTCATGGAGTTTAACATGGTTTATGAAGAACTAAACTCTCTCCTTCCGTTAAGCAATAATATCAAAACAACGCAGAAACAACGGGAACAAATTGTTGTTATGAGCTTCCTGATTGGGGTATATCCAGAATTTAATTTGATGCTTTCAAAAATCAACTTCTCTCTGAATTGGCCATTCCTTCTCTCCAAGAGGCATTTGCCGATTCCTTTGTACCGAGAAATGCAGTCTCATGCTCTCGGCACTCATGTCTCTCAACATAGTGCCATGGTCAGGCGTAGAGGCTCCCAAGGTGTTTTCCGCGGCGGATATCGACGAGGCTCTCGAGGGGGTTCTCAGGGGGGTACTCAAGGGGGTCCGACAAATCGTGGCTCTTGCAATTCCGAATCTGACGAAGTGGAGTGTTATTATTGTCATGAATTTGGGAACACAAAGTATTCATGTCCTCTCATGTTGCATCATCATCAGACATGGTCACTATTTCGCTGAGGAGTATTCTCAACTTATTGCAACAGAGAAACCTTATCCGTAGTCGTTGTCGTCTTTGCTGACACAGGTAATTCCGTTGCATGCCTCATATCTAAAGGCACCATATGGGTCATTGATTCAGGTGCGTTAGATAATATGACAAGTAACCCAAATGTTTTTTCCACCA